CTTTCCTGCAACTTCAAGTCTGGTGTTGTTACCTAGCCTTACAGTACATGCTGCACTGGTATTAAGATTAGTAAACCATTTCTTGTTGCCAGTCATATGGTTGCTGCATCCTGAATCAAGAAACCACCAGTCAGCATTAACTTCTTCACAGACTTCCTCCACTGAGGCCATTAGCAGCATATCATCTTTAAGATCACCAAAAGACTTGTCCTGCACATAACTGGTATAGTGTGCCTGATGATCCCTGTACCACTCAGGGCACTCATTTCTGTAGTGCCCTAACTTATGGCACTTAAAGCACTCAACTGAGTCCTTGTTCCAGCCCCTGCCACTCCTTCCTCTACCTCTGCTTGAAAAGAATCCTCTTCCCTGACCTCGTCCTCCCCTACCACCATACTCATGAGTGGTCCTAAGGGCCTGCTCCTCATCAGAAGCCCCTCTTTTAGCAAACTTCTGTTCATGCACTACTAGTGAACTCTGCAATCCATCAACAGTCAACTGATCAATGTCATTTGACTCTTCAATAGAACATACCACATAGTTGAACCTTTCTGTTAGAGTCCTCAAGATCTTTTCAACGATCTTTCCATCAGACATCTCCTCTCCACAGTTCCTCATATCATTAGCAACTGTCATGACACGATTGAAATAAGCAGACACAGTCTCTCCATCCCTCATTTCCAGCACTTCAAATGTCCTCCTGAGAGCTTGTAATTGAGCCTTTTGGACCCTAGCACTATCCTGACATTTGAGTTTCATGGAGTCCCAGAGTTCTTTGGCAGTAGCTTTCTTGGTAATAGTCTTCAGAATAGATTTATCAATAGAATTAAATAAATAATTCTTAGCTTTCAGATCCTTCAACCTCATGTCATCCAGAGTCTTGGATTCTGCAGCAGACAGTGTAGCACCCACAGCAGGCTCCTGGAACCCTTCATGTACCACGTTCCAATACTCTTTAGAGCGGAGGAGGTTCTCCATCAACATGCTCCAATGCTCATAGTCGCCATCGAACTTGGGAAGACCCACTTGGGCAAAGCTGGCATCACTCATGTTTCTGCTTCTGATTGCAGAAACCTCTCTAAAAGTTTGAACGAATCGCTCACCCAGATTGAAGAACACCTCTCCAACTCTCTCGTGTTTCCCAAACCCACACTGCACCTCAACAGCAGTATCTCAGTCACTCAGCAGCTTGACAGCCTTGAACTCACTCTCTTACTTTGGCTTGAAAGCACTCTCTTTGGTTACAGTTTGCAAGAGCTCTGATACCAAATGTGAAAAAACTCTTTGAAATGCAATCTGACAGTTTGATTTAGAATAAGAAACGGGACTAAGTACAGAGATTAGAGCCACTAAAACAGGCTCCCACTATCCTGAAAAGTAGCTAACAAACTACCCACTAACACACTAGCTGACTTGCAGTCTAAGACACGAAAGGAAACTCCTCCCAAACAGACTCGATGACACACAGACTAAAACGAAAGAGTAGTGACACAACCAAAACGACACAGCAACACTTGAATTTATTCAAACTTCAACTCGCGCCAAAAGCTCCAGTCTTCAGTTCATCTTCAGTTCATCTTCTAACAATTTCCCCATTAACTACGTCCTAAGCCTTAAGTAGGGTAAATAAAGGGCACATTGAAGCGTTCTTTCAGTGGCCCTGTAGGATTTTTAATAGCCTGCTGTAACTCCCAATTTGGGGAGGAGAGGAATATTAACAACCTATTTAGTATTTGGTGAAATCTTAATCCTATTAATCCCCTTGAATTATCGATTTTTCTGGGAAGGAAGGCATTAATTGTCCAAAACAGTTTGTGTAAACGGGCAATACCACCACATGGATTTTTGATAAATTTGTAATACTACCATTAATTCAAATTAATTGGTTTGAAGTTTTATTTGACCAAGTTTTTTTTTTACCAAGGGTTTGAAGTTAAAAGACACTCCTATAATAAATAACATTGTAAGAGATATTGTTCTTTTAGTTTGGAAAAAATTAGTCGGTGATAGCGGGTTTGGTTTGATGACGAGTCTGATAAAGAAGTATGTAGCCATTGGAGGTTCAAGCTGAATACTAAAGCCCGCATATGGCTGAAAACGGTGACATCGTCGAATTGTTCCTGCCGATCGGAGCTTGAGAGGCAATTTTATGCCGCCCATAACAATTTCAGTCTAAATCACACTCCCATGCATTTACTAGCAAATTCAAGCTATAAAGTTAATGATGATGTCATTTTCCTAATGGGGTGGGAGTTAAGAGCGTTAACTTTTCATAAATGGCCATAGAAAAGCTTTAATCTTCAATTCTTGGTACACTGCCTCAAGTCCGGCTTCGGTTCCAAGTTATCATGCCAGCAATAATATAATATAATGTTATACTAAAAGACATGGCCATCCAGGCTCCTCCAAAGCAAAGATTCTTAAGCTGGTCGTATCTTAATCGATGCCATGTTTATTGGAAGTTCCAAAAAAGTCATTCTTTCTAAAGTGGTAGCCCTACAAATTCGTTCTCACAGTCAAATCGAGTCATCACTTAGCTCTGAAAATAACATTGACATCAAGCCGAAAACCGATAGTACATATCATCGACCCTCCTATTTGGAAAAAGACTTGGAATCTCCAAGTCTCGCCTAAGCTCAAACTCTTCATATGGCAATGCCTCAAAGTCATACTTCCCACAGTAGCGGCCCTTCAAACTCGTGGAGTAAACTGCCTTAACCGATGCCCCGCCTGCTGGAGACATCGAGAAAGCATTGAACATTTATTCTTCAGATGCCCCCTAGCCATCAGATTGTTGACTTTAGTGGGATTGAGCAACTTTATTGAGACCGCCCAGACTGTTATCTTTAGTCTATGGTGGCGACATGTCATGGTCTCTGAGACCTCCCCATTCCACATTCTCCAATGCGTCTGTTTACTTTGGAGAATCTGGAAGTCTATAAATAAAGTGACCTTCGATTTTTACCAACCTCATGTCCGTTCCCTAGCCAGACAGTTCTACAACCAGGTCCTCGAAGTCTCCAATCTTCTCCTTCCTCCTCCACCCCGCAGCTCTCTTCCCCCAAACCATCCTGCCTCCTCTTGGGTCCCATCGCCAGAAGACTTTTTGAAGATCAACTTCGATGCTGCTGTTTGTGCCACCGGGTGTTCGTCTGGGCTTGTTATCCGTGGGTTAGACGGGCATGTGGTGTTGGCGTTCGAGCTGCAGCATCAAGGAATAGTCAATCCTTACCTGGTAGAGCTTCTAGCCTTTAGAGACGCTATCTCCATCGTAGCCTCAAGATCCTTGACCCACGTGATAGTCGACGGTGATTCCGAAGTGGTTGTCAATCAAGTCCGTCAAGGCGTCATAGAAGACTCGATTGGTGGTCCAGTGTTACGAGAGTGTCATCAGATCCTTAGCTCTTTGTCTGTTTGTATAGAGTTTAGGGCGGTACCTAGGTCCGCCAACAGTGTTGCCCATAGAGTGGCGCGTAAAGCACTACTTTTGTCTCGTTTAGAGCTAGAATCTTTTGATTTTTTTGGGGTGGCTTCTTTAGAGTCTGTTAGGGGTCCTGGGTAGAATTGTAAGTTTAACTATTATCCTTCATTGATATCACTCAGAAATAAAAAAAAAAAAGCTCAATTGAGGTCATAAATCATATGCTAATAAATTTTCCTTTTAGATTTAGAGTTATTGTCGATGATTATACATCAAAGTTTTCAAAATGACTTAAGTATAATTCTTGACAAATTTTGGCTGATCATTTTCTTAACAACAACTATTTTGATTGATGCATCAATCGTGTTCATGAATGAGGACTTTGAAAGATATAATGAGTTGAGTTTTATTGAAGTATGTTGTTTTTACAATTCGTATATGTTGTTATTAGCTATAAAAGTACACTATTGTTGTTTGAAGGGGTATGTAGGTCTCTACAAAATATAAATTGTATTAATATGCATTTTAGTTTGTTGAAAATATCGTGTTAATAAATTAGTGACAACTGATATTTCTATTTTTAGTTGGTTTTGCTATAAAATTTTAAAGATAAATTAAACGAATAGGCAGAAGATTGATGATGTGGATGTCAATCTGTTTCCTCATTCTTCCAAAATTGCACAGGTAACTGATAGTGCACGATGTTCGTGGGATTTAGAGTGCAATATTATGCATTATCATACAACAACATACGAGAAGGAAGAAAAAAATGACAAGCTCTTTGCTTATTTTTGTATTAGTTGAAACATATTTGCTTATTTAATTTTTTTAACTTCTTTGTCACTATTGTGTGCTAAGAAATTAATAATCTCTTATGTTTATATCCTAAATTGTGGGTTCGATACAAACTTATAAATCAATAAAGAAAGGTCTACCAAGAGCTCATTTAATAAAATTAAATTTTCATAAATAAACGAAAGATATAAAAGTGTGTAACAATACCTAAAATCAAGTAAATGAGATTAAAAATTCAATGTATATAGTTTAACATACATAAAGCATAATATAACATATTAGAATGAAAAATAAAACACCAATACGAATGCGTCGCCCAACGGGCGGGTAAAAAGCTAGTGCCAGTTAATAGCGAAAAAGTCGTTAGCAGATACTAACTGATATCCAAAATACATGAACTAGTATCCAAGTACTAAAGTATCTAGAGAGCACAGACTAGTATTCAAGGTTTGCTAACTGATATCCACCATGAATCAACTATTATCCCGAATTCACAAACTAATATCCATATAGAACATAATTAGTATCCATACAACTCATAATTAGTATCCAGATAACACATAAGAATATCCAGATAACCTACAAGAGTAATCATATTGAATACTAGTTAGTTGATTGTGGATATTAGTTGATATCTGCTATCTGGATACCAGTTTGTGATGTTTTGAATACTAGTCTGTATTATCTAGATACTTTAGTAAAATCAGCAGACTTGGATACTAATTCATACATTTTAGATATTAGTTAGTATATACTAACAACTTATGCTGTTAGCAGAATAACTAGGCTGAGTTAATGGTAGACGACGTGCAGCCAGAACAGAGCAGCTGCGTAGTCTACGGAGCAGAGTAGCGGCAACTGGCACCAGTGATGACCGAGGAATCCACTTTACACGATTAAATTGTCTGCTAGGTAACTCCATAACCCAGGGAAAAAACGAGTTCCATTTACTGACAGTCATCAATTTTGGTTGCAACTGATTTATTTGGTTTCGGAACTGGTGAATAACTAGAGGCTTCTGAATCCTTCTTCTCCGGCGAATTGTGTTAGATTGTAGATTTGGTTATGAAAGCTCCATCAGGGACTTCTTGAATTTACTGCACTGAAGTAAGCTCATCGGATTTTGAGGGTTTTGGTCAACAATCTGGTTCCGTCAAATTGTATGCCAGGTGTTCGATGAAAGGTTTATCTGCATAAATTCGTGGAGGAAACTGGGTATTCTCGATTGAGTGCTGTGACGAAGACGAGCTTGTGGCAGAATCTTCTTGGAGATTCAAATAGTTACATAAGCTGGCATAAATCTTACCGGACACAAGGTGACTGGCAGAAGCTGCGGTCTATGATTCTAAAGAGAGTCGAGGATCGAGCTGGTGAGTATCGGGTGAAAGCAATCATCCCTTTAGCAAAAGAGGTGTTTGATGCTAGGAAGAGGGTTATTCCTGGCGTCTCTGTGCTAATGAAAGTTGTCCCAGTCGTCGCGTGAGAGTTCTGTCCTGAAGTTTTTGTTGGAAAGAAAGGCATCCGATTGAGACCTGTAAAGGGTACAAGCGCATTGGGAAGAAGTTCATGAATGGATTCCTGGTAGTTTGAATGATATACTCGTTCCAATCGAGTCATACCACTTACCCAACATGTCACCAAAGATTATTAAACATGCCCAAAGGTTCAATTTCGATCGTTTCCCTGCTGTGATTGGGCTGTGCTGTCAGGCTGGTGCTGAATCAGATCAGCATAACCCACAACAAGACCATGGTGTCGATGACAGTGCAGCGTCTTTGGCACCCGAGGATGTAAAATTTCTCGCTAACGGGACTCTCAAGGTGTGGGAGACACTTAGGTCAGGTGTAGAGAAGTTGTTGCTGGATTATCCGGCTAAAGTTTGCAAGCATTGCTCAGAATCTCATGTTGGTGCATCAGGGCATAAAGCTCGACATTGTGGAGTGTTTAAGTACGAAAGCTGGCGTGGAACACACTTTTGGGAGAAGGCAGGTGTCGATGATTTGGTGCCCCAGAAAGTTGTGTGGAGTCGGCGACCTCAAGATCCATCAGTTCTATGTGACGAAGGGCGAGACTTTTATGGCCACGAGCCATCGTTGGTTGATCTGTGTGCTAAAGCTGACGCCATTGTCCCAACGAAATACTTCTGTATGATGAAAGTTCAAGGTCTCTCTCCTCGTCGTGCGTGAGCATTGAAGAAGATTAACCTAGTGGTTGTTAGAAACAAAGATTTCCAACGGTTTGAATTGGGGAAACTAGACTGATCAACTAGGGATTGATCATTTTTTTTTACAATTAATCCAACTTTTATTCCACTTCCGAAAAAACGTAGGCAAATTACAATCGTAAAAAAGATCAAAAATTAAATCAAGAATATTAATCCAGTCCTCAGGCAGATTAGATCTCGCTTTTGATCGTGCCACCCAATCCCTCTGACATTCAATGCTAGAGGCACCTCTTTGACTTTAATAACATGATTTGTCCTGAGGATATTGATCATGAACCAATCCATGTTGCACAGCGCCATGGCCATCCTGATTTTCCTTTACCCAGTGCTTTCACCAGCACCTGACAGTCAAATTGGACAATGCATTCTGATCCATATTCTTGTGCTAATTTTAAACCTTCTAAGAGAGCTTTTGCTTTCGCTTCAATCGGGGTGGAACAAAGAAGAGTCTCAGCTCGCCCATCACACACTTGTCCATGGTGGTTAACCGCAACAACACCATAAGCCACCGGCTGGGAGTCGCTAATGAACGACCCATCACAGTGAATCTCCATAAGATGATTACTTGGCGGGGGAGTCGTAGTGGAATGGGTTCCCCTGAGCTGAGTCGAAGAGGCAGGGTTAGGGGGAATAGGCCTCGGACAAGACATCCATTCAGTAAGTTCTCTAGAAGTTTGCAGACCGACGTTAGGGGGCCAGGGAACTCTATTCTTGAAAGTGCAATCATTCCTTGCCTTCCAAATATTCCAGCAAAGGAAAACGATATGGATAAAGGATTCTTGAGAAATGACCTCCTTAATAGCACAAATCCACTCAAAGAAAGAAGACTCCCGGGGAGGGAAGAAGAGAAAGTAATTAGTGGGAAGAAGAAAGAGAGAGAACTTGGAAGAGAAGAAGGGGACGCAGAGAGGAAAGAGAGAGAAGGGGATTATGGTTGAGAATTGTGTTCTGTAATTGCCTGCCTCTAATATTACCGATTACAGAATATATATTCCCACTAATTACTTTCTCTTACTCCACTAATTCGACTTATCAAAAGACCCCTTACTTATCACCAAATCCCCCAAATAGTACTAATTCTTAAACAATGGTAAATAATCCGAAAGCAATGAAATGAAAATTAATTATGTTTCTAACATCCCCGCCTCCTTGAGAACAACCTTGTCCTCAAGGTTGAAGCTACTACTGCAACGGCATCTTGTCCTCTGCGGCTTCACTTCTGCCTCGTCTTCCTAGCGCTCCACCAAGAACATCAGATCAAGCTTCCCGCACTTGTGACCGAAAGTGAACCTCTCATCGCAGTTAAAGCACTTCCCTTCCCACCTCTTCTGCTCGATCTCCGCAGGGGACAACCTGGTAAATCCCTTCGGAGGTGCCCTCGGCCCAGCTCGGAATGTCGCAGTAGTTGTCCCGGTTGTGGCGCCTCCTTCCGTGTTCGAGCCTGCCAGTACCGTCGCCCCGCTGCTCGGCCCACTGCATCCTCCTCCTCCACTCAGCTTCTGATAATGGCCTATCACTCCTCGCTAGCTCGCTAGTTCCTCCTCTTTACTACCTGCAAGACGAAAAGCAGACCGTAGGGAATCTAGTTCGAAGACCCTGACTGCCGTCGCGATCTTCGGGCGGAGTCCCGTCATGCATAGGCCGACCAAGGTCTTTTCTGGTACGCCCTTGCATTGATTTCCCAGCTTGAAGAACTCGGCCCTGTACTCAGCGACCGTCCCAGTCTGTCGTAGCTTGGCCAACTGCTCCGGGGACCATCCTTCAAATTTCCCAAATTGATACCGCAGCTTCTCCTTAAACATGGGTCACGTGATTAGGGTCTGTGCTTCAGCGTACGTTCACTCCATCCACTCCCACCACTGTAGAGCATCACCCTCCAGGTAAAACGATGCTAGCTGTGCCTTTCATTCTTCCCTGGTGGGGTGGTTCTTAAACCACCGTTCAACTGCGTACAACCAGAGACCAGCATCCTCATAGCCATTGAATTTTGGAAACTCAAAGGTTGGAGGCTTGGCCCTAAACACAATATCATCATCAGCATCAAAGCCACGGGAGTATTCGGCATACCTTCCATAACCTGGGGCCCCGTCGGAGTAGTTCCGCGAGAATCGCTAGTCCCCCTCTCGGCCCTAGTGGTCCTCTCCTTCATCACGGTATCCCGCTCTTCGACCTAGGTCATCCTTCTGTCGCTGCTGTTCGACATTCCATGACTCGGCTATGACCCTGCCGGCGTTTCGATGATGGGCAAACAAATGATAGGGAGCACTGAATTCCCCAAACTGACCCTGCAGCGCTGCGGTCCCTCTGCTGCCCATATGGGTCAGTCACCCCGACTGGTAACCTGGTTCTACAGGGGTTCGGCCAGGTTCGGTTCGACCATTATTGGTCCAACCCAACCCGATTTGCCCAAATTTGGTCTGACCGGGTTGAGTTTGGCCCATGGCAACCAGCCGCCCCGCCTTCCACGCGCGGCTTAACTCGCTTCGACTCCCTCTCGGCCCACCTTCCATCTTGGTTCGGCCCACCAAACTGAGCTCGTCCTCCCTGGGATCCGCTCCTAACCAGCCTATCCCGTTGGCCCATGGCCCGTGGTCATATTCCTGCTCCTGATCCTCAAACTCATCCAAGTCCAGGCCCGCTTGCAGATCTCGGTCCATGCACTTAGGCATTTTGGCCTTACCCCGCATAGCTGCGATTTCTTGGGCCGTCAGTGTTGGTATTAGGCCGCCTTTGCCAGTCGGGCCGAAGGTGACGTGGCCCGTACGCGAAGGAGGTTGCCGGCTAAGGTTAGTCGCCACTGCGGCTTCCTTCTCCCCCGTCCCCTCCACTGGTTCCCTCGCCACGCCCGACTCGACGCCCTTGCCACCCGTTGCCGTCGCCAAGGCGGAAGCCTCCCCCGGCGTCGCGCCTTCCTAGGCCGGCTACCTGCCGTCGCCATTTGCCTTCCAGCTTCCCATCACAGCCTCCAGCGCTGCACGGGTCGCCTCTGACGTAGCCATCAGGCTACTCACCTATCCCTGCAATGTTCGACCGCCGCCATCAACGCGTTGAGGGTTCGGGCATGATCTTTTCTGATTTTATCTGCAGCCCTTTCAAACCCTCCTCGACCCACATCTGCCTCCCTGCCTGCTTTTCCACCATCTTCCTTAGCTCTTCAGTCTCGGTGATATCCTCCATGGCTCCATCTACGGCTGTCTCGGAGGTCTTGGCTTGTGCCGCCTTGTCTTGAGCCGTCTTCTCCGCCGCTGTCATTAATTTTTTCATCACCATCGTTTCCTTTTGAATTACCCTGGTTCAAGAGTTCTGAAGAACTCACTCTCGACCCAGGATCTGATACCAGATGTTAGAAACAAAGACTTCCAACAGTTCGGAATTGGGGAAACTAGACTGATCAACTAGGGATTGATCAATCTAGGGATTAGGAATAGGGCTGAATTTATAAGTGAAGGGAAGAGAGAGAGAGAGAGAGAGAGAGAGAGAGAGAGCAGCGGCTGCTGTCGCTTGGAAGAGAAGAAGGGGACGCAGAGAGGAAAGAGAGAGAGAAGGGGATTATGGTTGGGAATTGTGTTCTGTAATTGCCTGCCTCTAATATTACCGATTACAGAATATATATTCCCACTAATTACTTTCTCCTACCCCACTAATTCGATTTATCAAAAGACTCCCTACTTATTCCCAAATCCCCCAAATAGTACTAATTCTTAAACAATGGTAAATAATCCAAAAGCAATGAAATGGCAATTAATTATGTTTCTAACAGTGGTTCTCTGTACCAGCTAGATGGGCATCTAGGTACCGATAATTATATGATTCAAACCTTTGCTCCTCTAGAGAAAATCACATATTTCAATTTAGAGCGCCCTTCACAAGAGGGGTTCTAAACACCATTGAAGTTGAGATTTTGAAATGTATACAAGGCACTCATGTTTTTTCTTCCATTTAGGAATGTGGTGGGAATGTCACACGTCGATTCTTTCTAAAAGACAACATTAAAGACCAAAATCCGTATCTCTGTTGTATTAGTGCTGAAAGTTTTGTACAGAGGTTGTGTTACCAATTTACAAGCAATCCAGTGTTGGATTGAGATCATTCTTAAATTATTATTAACTTGTGAATACTTTGCTTGAGCTACAAGCTGAAACATTATTTTAGTTCCATCACTAGTGTAATGGTGGTTGGAATTGTGCATAGTCTTCAGTTTATCTGGCCGCAGGGATGATAAAAAGGCTAGTTTTGGGGTGGACTAAATGCAGCCTCATCTCTATTTTCAACTCCTAAACCTAGACCCTTTTCCAGTGGCAGAAACTCAACATTTGAATTGATCAATTAAACCCTTCACATCACCAATTAACAACTCGTTTCAGACCTCTTTAAAATAAGTTTAAACGAGAATATTTGATGAGATGAAATCTACATTAAGTTAATTTACTTGTATGAAGATTCCTTGAAAGCTATGTAAACTACAAATATGACTACTCCTATGTGGAATCCTTCATAAAAAGCTCTGCAACTATAATAAAAAAATGTGAAGCTTGATAGGTGGTGTCATATGTAGGTTTTGAGAACTTTTTTTTTTTTTTTGTTAGTGGTGTGAATGAATTGGAATCTCTCTCTAGCTTTTTGCTCTGACTTCTCTCTTCTTTACTGCTCTTGCTCTGTTTTCTTCTTTCTTTGTCCCAGAATTTGCTTCTGGATGATCAACCTCCTCCTTCTGTGAGATGATTACATCCCTTCTTAGCGTTAGCTAATGGAGAAGTGTACTTACAATATCCCATCTAATTATCATATGTCAGCTAGAAACATTTATACTCAGCTGTTTCAGCCCAACTACCAGGAGAATTCAATGCTCCAAAGAAGAACACACAGATGTATTCTGCTGCCGAAAATTAATACAGCAACAAAGGATAGGAGTTATTGCTACTACTATTCTGATGTAAGGAGAAGATCCAAGGCAGATATCAGTCTCTTCAAGCCTCCCTTAATCCCATTACCCTGCAGAAGTAGAAGAACAGAGAAGCTCAAAAGTACTGACAACGGATTGTTCTACAGATCCTCTAGATACGCCTTAAATCCTAGTCTAATCGAACCACCCACTATAGTTGATCCAACCACAAAGGGAAGTGGAATTAAATACGAGGAGAGGGTGGGTATAAGCACTATAAGAGGAAGGGTAATCCCAGCAGGTAACATATTCAAATTCCCAACAAGTTATCTCTATTCCAAGATCAAGTCGGCAAACAAACAGCCAAAACCCAGAAAAATGAGTGTCAACGATCTGATCAATCAGGCAGGGGAGTGGGATTTAGAAATGGTACCTGATGAAGGGAGAGTGGCTAATCGAAATACTCTAGTGGGGAAGATCTTCTCAGAAAGGACTATCAGTCTCAGAGCCCTAAGAGGAATGGTGAGATCTGCCTGGGTTGATAACCCCAAACCAAAAATGCAAGAAATGCCCAATATCCAGCCGCTGGAGGACAACACTTTTGTCTTTGATTTCGAGAAGAAAACTGAGATGGAGGCTATCTGGAGTGACAGGCCATGCCCAATCTCGGGGACGGTGATGCAGCTGAAGAAACCATCTGCTTTTGAAGATGCAAAGGAAGTAAAGTTCCAGACCATCGAGTTCTGGGTTCAAGTGCACAACCTGCCTGAGGCATACAGATCCGAAGGTAACATATCGATGATGGAGAGGATGTTCCATAGGGTCGTTGACATCGACAAAGCTGCCATTCAAGCCCAGATCTACAGGAAGTTCATCAGGATCTTTGTTGAGATAGATGTCTCAAAATCTCTGCCGGATGGCTTCTACATAAGGCAAAAACAGAAGCGGAGCTGGGTCGAGTATAAGTATGAGAGGCTGTACTCTCTTTGTTACTTCTGCGGCAGGATTGACCACATCAAACTTGAGTGTGAGATGAAGAGGAACTGTGATGAGAATGGGTTGCCTTACCCACAGCTGGAGAAATGGGGTCCTTGGACAAGGGCAAACTCTCCGGTCTTCTCTCCCAGAACAAACCAGCAAGTGGATGTTGAGAAGGTGCTGAACCGGGATACCGCCTCCGCATCAAATTCTCCGGTGGGCCTGATCAACCCTTCATCGACGACAAAAGCGACGGGAATAAGTCAGAACATCTATCAGGGGGGCCCACATGCCTTGAGCTTCTCACCAAGACCTGGTCAGTCCCCATTCTCGAGTAATGGTCAGAATTTCACTCTCTCAACGGATCTATTTCAATCCCCCAGCTATTTCTCCCCTACACCCCAAAATCACCCACCTTTTCAGCAAAACCAAGAAATGATAGCCTCTCCCCCCCAAAGCTTAAAGGTTGCCAGAAACCTTTTTGGAGATATTCCTTTCTACCAGTCTAGCCAAATGACTACCACGAGCAACCCTTTCCTCCCAGTGGGCTTTGCCAATCCTAACCTGAGCCCAACTACCTACCCGGCCCAAGCAAACTACATTTTCAATCATAACTATTTCCCACAGGCCTGTACCTCTGCTCAAAAGCCCAGGAAATTCCTATCAAATGAACAGAGAAGAGGACATAACGGGAGCCCAGGGATTCAAAAAAAAAAGAGGAAAGCTAGTTTGGTACAGATGGTTGAGGAAACAGGGGCTGCTGAGGAAGAACAGGGGAAGACGCGCAAAGGGCAAGCAGGGGAGGTGTTGTCGGAGGAGGACCCAAGAATCCCTCCTGGATTTGAGCCGGAAAACACTGTGGATATGGTGGCCGATTCCAAGCCACCGGGGGAGCCATGAATGGACTGGTTTGGAACTGTCGGGGTTTCGGCCAGTCCCCCACAGTTCGACAACTTCGAAAACTGGTTAGGAAGAACAAGCCTGCATTTGTGTTTCTTTCTGAGACTAAGAAGAAGGAGTCATACATGGAGACTAAAAGAAAGAGTCTGAAATTTGCCAAGAAATTCTATGTAAACCCGGTTGAGAGGGCCGGGGGTCTAGCCTTATGGTGGTTAGAAGACTTTCCGTTGCGTATTCTAGATAGTGGTAGGCATTTCATAGATGCTTTTATTGATATTGAAGGGGGGTTTTTTGTTACTTTTGTCCATGCCCCGTCAGAACCTGCTAGACGTAGAGATTTTTGGGATCATATTAGCAACCTAAGAACTAATGCAGAAGACAAGTGGATTGTTATGGGGGATATGAACGCTGTTTTGTTCTCTGAGGAGAAACTGGGGGGAGGTCCTCCTAGAGCGGATTCTGTAATTCCTTTTAAGGACTTTGTTTCTGATAATGCATTAATGGACCTTGGCTTTTCGGGCTACCCTTTCACGTGGAAGAATAACCAAGAAGGATCAAGAAGGGTTGAGGTGAGACTGGACAGAGTGTTGTGCTCAACATCCTGGTTCTCCACCTTCTCTAATGCTAGGGTCATCCATGAGCTGCCTATCGAGTCTGATCATAGCCCCCTGATAGTGGAGTTGGAAGGTTTAAAGCAGAGAGTCAAAAGTCCATTTCGGTTTGATACAAGATGGCTAAAGAGAGAAGAGTGCCATGATATAGTCAACAGGATTTGGGAAGAGGAAGGAAATTGTGAAGAGAAAATGTCTAAATGTGAAAAGGAGTTAAGGATTTGGGCTAAACAAGTTTTTCAAGATCAAAATAAAAGGGCTGATGAGATTCAAAGAAGGCTAGAGGAGATTCTCCTACTTGAGCGTACTGAGGAAATAATCAATGAAGAGAAATTGTTGATGAATGAATTGGCTATAATATGGAAGGATGAAGAATTGTTTTGGAGCCAACGATCTAGAATCAGGTGGCTTAATGAGGGAGACCGGAATACTAACTTCTTTCATTCCTCAACTATTCACAGGAAGCAGAGGAACAAGATTGTTAGGTTGATTGATGAGAATGGTGGTGTTATTTCACAGCCTGAAGATATTAATTCTCATGTTAAAGAGTACTATAAAACTCTGTTCACCAAGTCAGAAGGCAGGGATTTGTCCGCTCTTCAGGATTTTCCTCATCTTGTGTCACAAGAAATGAATTTAGATATTTGCAAGGAACCCACCGTGGAGGAGATTAAAGAAGCTGTGTTTGATCTTGGGCCCACAAAATCACCCGGTCCAGACGGTTTTGCAGGGAGCTTTTTTCGAAATTTTTGGGGTAAGATTGGCCCAGATTTCTGTAAGGAAGTGCAGGTGTTCTTTGAGACTTCAATCATGCCTGACGGGTGGAACGATACCCACATCGCCCTCATTCCGAAAGTCCAATCACCGGAATCTATTAAACAGTTCAGGCCGATAAGTTGTTGCAACTTTCGGTACAAAGTCATATAAAAAATTCTTTCAAGCCGAATGAAGAAATGGCTGCCTGGACTAGTCTCGGAAATGCAGGCGGCCTTCACTGGAGGTAGACTAATACAGGACAACATCATTATCGTTCATGAAATCCTCCATCATTTCAAGACCAGAAGGAGTGGGAATTGGGACATGATGATAAAATTAGACATGCGTAAAGCATATGATCTTGTGGACTGGGAGTGTTTGGATGCTATCCTTCTTGCTTATGGATTTGCTGATAAATGGAGAGGATGGATAAGATCTTGTGTTCAAACTGTCAGATTCTCATTATTAATGAATGGGAGCCCTACAGAGAAGTTTCAACCTTCGAGAGGTATTCGACAAGGGGATCCGATTTCTCCTTTCTTGTTCATCCTCATGTCGAATGCATTATCTTTCTTGATCGATAAAGCAGTTGATAAGGGTGAAATTCAAGGTATCAAGCTCAATCCTAACTGTCCTAGGATCTCACATTGCTTATTTGCCGATGATACTGTTATATTTGGAAAAGCAAGTGTCAAAGAGGTCGATCATATTCAGAGGATCCTAATGAACTATGGAGGAATTACAGGGCAAGAGATTAATGCCGATAAGTCCTCGATCTTTTTCAATAAGAACACGCCGGATGCGCTCAAAGGTATTATCACAAATAAACTGGGGTTCTCGCCTTCTATTTGTCACGACAAGTACCTGGGAGTTCCCTCGGTTTGGGGGCGGTCTAAGAAGGAAACTTTTCTTTTCCTACTTGAAAGGATGGAAAAGAAGGGTGATTCATGGAAGAGTTTACTCTTATCTCCGGGAGGAAAGGAGGTTCTTTTGAAGGCAGTGATTCAGGCTATTCCGACTTATCTTATGAGTATTTTCCTTCTGCCCCTTTCCCTGACTAACAAGATGGATTCGCTGCTTAAGAGGTTCTTCTGGGCGGGTTCTATGAAGAAGAAATCTATCCATTGGTGCGATGCAAGAACTCTAGAGAAACCAAAAGAGGAAGGGGGTCTAGGATTTAAAAATTTCCATCTCTTCAATGTTGCCTTGATAGGCAAGCAAGTCTGGAGGATTTTGGAGAATCTGGATGCTCTTTGGGTTCGGCTTCTCAAAGGGCTTTATTTTGGTGATGGGGATTTCTTCTCGGCCTCTAAAGGAAGGAATGGGTCATGGATTTGGAGTGGACTCTGCGACACAAAAGAAAAACTCAAGATGGGTTTGGTTAAAAGTATCATGTCAGGTAATGATACCCTGTTTAATTCTGACCCTTGGCTTCTTTCTGCCCCTTCGTTTTCCTTGTCTTCTCTAGGTCTGAACCAGTCCAAGGTGAGCGATTGGATTCATCAACATGATAGAAAGTGGAAGAAGGAGAGCCTGTATGAGGTGGTTCCTGAAGGAGTGGTTGATGATATCCTGCGCATCCCGATTGGTCCTCAGAAGGCAGCAGACAAGTGGATTTGGAAGTTTTCTAATACTGGAGCTTACTCTGTGAAATCCGCGTACAGAGCTCTCAGAGATAATAGGGACCTTCACTTGCAGTCAACGTCATCAAATGACATACGACCTAATAGCGAAGACTGGAAGTGGCTTTGGTCCCTGTCTCTCCCTCCGAAGTTGCGTTTCTTCATATGGAAGATTGCAAAGGGTGCTATTGCCACTAAATCTAGGCTTTTTGATCGAAAGTGTGCTCCAAGCCCTTGTTGCTCCATCTGCAATCATCATGTTGAGTCCATCCATCATTGCTTCTTCAAGTGCCCTCATGCTGCATCTACGTGGGAACATTTGGGTCCTTCTTCGTTCCTCCTGCAGGAGGACTGTTCGTTCTCGGATTGGTTCTTCAGGCTTAAGGACAGTTTTTTGGTGGATTTCATCAAGAGAAGCGTGTGCATCTTGTGGAACATATGGATTGCTAGGAATGGCTTTTTATTCGAGAACAAGGTCATTTCCCCGACCTCTTCAGCAGTGTTAGCCGATCGTGATTTCCAGACCATTGAGGAAGCAAGAAATTTCATTTCTCGCCCTACTTCTTTGAGATCAGCTACATTGCAATCTCAGCCAAGGGGATCCCGCTCTCATCCTTCACCACCGCCTGGTTCTTTTCAGAGGATTGTGCACTGTGATGGTTCTTTTTGTGCAGAATCACGGGAGGCGGCTTATGGGATTACTATTGCTAATGCCCATGGTCAAGTGTTGGACGGAAAGTCTTTTGTTCCTATCCTATTCAAGCGGAAGCTTATGCAATTCTTAATGCTGTCTTAAGTGCATCTCGGGATGTTTGCCAGACGTGTATCAGGTCTGATTGTCAGATTCTGATCCTCGCCTTAAGGCGTACTCCTGATCGATGGCCTTGGCAATGTCGACCAATCTTGGCACGCATCATTTCTCTCCTCCAATTGGCTCCCTGGATCAAGGTGATGTTTATCCCCAGGCGTCTCAATGGTCTTGCGGATTGGGTGGCGAGGAATGAGCGTTTGGGAGCTCTTCCTGTGGATTGGTTGACTGTTGCTGAGCTTGTTTCTCCTTTGCTGTAAGAATGTACTTGGTTTCCGTTGATGGGTTAAGGAATAAAAGCAGTTTCTATTCAAAAAAAAAGAGAACTTTTTTTTTGTCTTTGTTTCTCATATTTAAAGCAATAAGATGTATCGCTCCTCCTACTGCACAAATACTTGAGGTGGCTTGCTTGACGCCCTGACATCCCTTGCTTCTACGAAAATCACTTGATACTTAAAGACTTCATAGCAAGTGTGATGGACAACCTCTCGTGCAATGGAGGCGTCTCGCATTACGGCTTATCCTGGTACCTAATTTGGCGTGCGTCATTTGATACTGTGGGATCAAATATTATGCTAACTCCCCGTCGTGTTAGCACCCTACTAGCACTTGTTATAAGGGTATATGAGTAATTAACCTTTATAACACCTTCATTGATGCATCATCGACCAACTCCCCAAAATACGCCCCACCCCCCAACCTCATCGCCGTCGCCCCCTTCACTTTAATCATTTTCCAGATTCATGGACACTCTTAATCCATAGCATTTCATTTCCCTCCCCCCTCCACTGTACTCCTAGTAGTACTACCCTCTTTATCCACCCCCGTCGTAAGAAATTTAAACCCAAATTCCCCACCATATAGTTAATGTAAAACGAGGATTCGTTGTCGCCGTATTTTTCGTCACTATAACCACATGAATATTGAGTAGCCGCCTTGGCCTCCTCCTCCTCATCCTCCTCCTCCTAGTAGCGGCGACCACCACAACCACCAACTTCCTCGTCATTCCTACCTCCCTCGTACTCTCTCATTAGCGACGATGGATGGGGCGTTGGCTCTGGCGACGACAGCCTCTTGTTGCAGGTTTTGTTGTTATTGTTGTTTGCCTATTGGGTGACCGATAGTGATCACATGTGGGTTTGCTAGTGAGGCGCTAGACGAGCTCTTTAAAGTTGGCGATATCAGTCTTGCCGATCTCCTGCGTGAATATGTGGATGAGTCGGATCTTCTGTTTGCTTCATGAAGTTTCTGATATGATTTATTAAATTCTTGGTTTGCTTTTAGAAAATTATGGTGTTCTTTAAGAAATTTGTGTTCTTCTTTAAGGAACTTGTGGTGTGCTTTAATAAACTCGTAGCATGTTTTATGAGGTTTCTGATACACTTTAGGAATTTTTTCATGTGCTTTAAGAAACTTGTGGTATGTTTTACAATCATTCTGGTATTTGTGGTGTGGTTTATGTGGTTAGTGGTGTGGTGAGGTTCTTGTATGCTTTATATTTAATAAGCTTTTTAGTATGCTTTATGAGTTTTTTGGTATGTTTTATGATTTGGTGTGGTTCTGGTATGCTTTCTAAACTTTCTGTTACTTTTGCGGTGTTGTTTGTTGTGTTTCATCATTTATGTTTTGTGGTCCCTCAATTAATGCACAACACAAGCGTATTGTCTCCTCCCCCTAATTTTTCATAATGACACTTTATAAATCCTCATTAATTGTGGTCAACACCATAAAATAAAAAAGTCATAAAAAAATATTCACATTAGCGGGAGTTGGTGTTTTCACCATAAATTGGGTATTAGCACCCCTAGCCTTTCCCTCGGTCTTGTATGCTTGATGGGCATGTGGCTGTGACAGTAGGGTCTAGGGTGTTAGGCGACGATGCTTCCGATGACGGAGTACTATGATGAGCACCTAGCTATGTGGTGTGTTTGATACCTACCTATTTTGATGGTAGACTATCATGCTTGGTACTTGGATCAGGTGCGGACCCAGGTGACTACCCAAAATTTTGGAAAAACGATTATCCGATTCCGGTGATAATTTACGAATGGATAAAAAATTATAATTAATAGTATGAGACACCCTGAAATTTGAAAAAATGATTATCCTACTCATTTTTGTAGTTTACAAATGGGGATATAAGTGGTAGTTTAGGTAATTCAAACTCGGGACACTACTATTATTAATAAATATAATTTTCATTAGGCTACAACCATTTTGTTGTTATATTGTAAACACTCAGTAATAGCAAAACCCTATTCTCAATCTTTAATTATTTTCAAAACCTAACAACTAATCTAATTACAAGCTACCCTTAATTTGTATTGATTTTATGGTTGTGTGACAACTGTTGAAAGTGTCTTTTCAGCTTTGAGTTACATCAAGAACAAATTTAGAATTCGAATATGCGTCAGTTCGTGAATGATTGTCTAGTAGGATATACCGAGACAAATTTGTTGAGCAGTGTAGACACCAAGAGTATTTTACAATTTTTTCAGAATATGAAAATACATTATGGAATTTTTTAACTTCTATGATTTGGGTTTTTTTAAGAATTATTTAAATATTATTAATTAATTATTTTTATTTTAGTTTATTTTTTCAAAGAGGACACCCCTATTTAAAATTATTGGGTCCGCCTATGACCTGGATAGACATCTTGACGAAAAGTTGTCTAAGATGGACTCCTTGCTGACATCATGCTTGGGGTTTTGGTGACTATGGTGATTCGTTGACACCCTTAACTGTAAAGAACCAGTTGATCTCAATATCTCGAGTTGTTGGTAGATGTCAATTATGGATCATATAACATTGACTAACACACCGCCTCAAATGAATACGAGCTTGATGTTTGCACAGGTCTGAATAACATGTGCTTAACAGAACATATGGGGGTCATCAGGATTCAAACAGAAGACCTCTAGGTCACAGAAGGGTCCCATGTCAAAAATCAATTGATCCCAATAACTCGAGTCCTTGAGCTTTCTTTTACAGCTCGTTGACCACGAAAGTCCGGATTTGATCAGAAGACGACTCGAGTCCACAGTCGGGAACGCTCTGACTGGCAGTGTTGGATCCGTTGAGGGACTCCTGGCGGACCTTGATGAGCTTGGCCTTCTTGAGAGCGGTGGAGACATTGGCGTCCATTTGAGCCAAGAGGTCCTTGGCCTCCCTGGTGTTGTGGAGGGTCGAATTGAGCTTATCCAGCTCCTTGAGCTCGTCCTTAATGGACTCGCTGCCGGTGGTGGAGGGGATCTCAGACAGCTGGCCGACGTGGTGGCCGAGGGAAGCAGCTTCGTCATTGCGGAAGCAGGAGAAGGAGTCGAAGAATAATTCGTTCATGGCTGCTGATGTTCAAGGTCCTCCGACCCCACTCCAACGCAGATTGATCCACCAACTAGGTTCATTTTGGAGGAATATTTTTCTAGCGTTCTTCTCTTCGTCTTCGAGAGCGAAGAAGATGAAGGGTGATGTCAGAAATGAGAAAAAGTTCCCAACACCTCTTTTTTCATTTACCGTTTTCTTTTTTTATGCTTTTTGTTAAATGAACAAATAAAATAGGTCGGTTAAAATTTCCACGTCATTGCGCTAGACAGGCGTTGATTAGTCACACAATTAAATATAACAGTCCAACTAACAAAAAATGACGATTTGGTATATAAATGGCATATCGAAGGTTTCATAATATAAATAACAAAGTTAGTAAAAAATGGTATTTTTAGTGATATTAGTGTTAAAACTTAAAACTATTGTATTCTGATATTTTTGTTCTAAGAACCGGTGTAATTTGGGGAGAAATGCGAAGAGCCCAAAATACATAAGTTAAAAAAATTCTTAATCTACACATGTTTCACCATCACCGCCGTTGTCAAAGACAGTGAACACAGTCACAGCTCTTGAGAACGAAAGTGAATATTTCACCGCGACATCACCGCGATTAAGGAGAACGGTGAATATATCACCGCAGTTGAGAAAAACAATGAATACATCACTGCGCTAAACAAAAACGGTGAATGAATAACTGTTGTTAGTGAAAACGGTGAATTCATCACTACAGTTGAAAAGAGCGGTAAACATTTGCCACGTTTTCCAGCCCTGGTAAGTGAAATCATCACCACGGAAGGACATGCGGGCTGGAGCAGGCATTGGAGGGTATGCTATGACATCCCTCCTCTGCTCTCGGGTATAGCTCAACAGTTTGTTGAAATGTCTCCGCAGAAAAGATGTCTTCCGCTCGTCCATGGTGGGTGCACTTTCGACGGTGTGCTTGGCATGTTCCAAACCGTCAACCTAATAAATTTAAATTATAAAATGAAATTAAATAAAGCCACATCATGTAATAAACTTTTAGGATGTAATCTAAGCATGGAATCTAACTACAAAAGAATAAGACAAAGAGTCAGACTTGGGATCACTTACTAACGAATCCCACACATCACGTTGCTTTGACACCCATCTAAGCGTGAACTTCCGATACCACTTGATGAACCAGAACTCTCAGTTCGGGAGTTTGCTTGTCACTCACAAGTGAGAGAACAATGTAAAGTGTCGAAAGACTATTCTAGGTTTATTATTCTATATAGGGCTGGAAAACGGTGCGGTCTGTCTGTGGTCTATGCTTCAGCCTCTCGGTCTTGACCATAAACCGTATATATGGTCCAGACCAGACCATATATACGGTTTATGGTACAGACCGAGAGGCTGAAGTATAGACCACAGATTATACGGTCCGGTCCAGACCAAGCATGTGCGGTCTGGTTTGGTCTAGTCTGGTCTAGATAGACCACACCAACGAAAAATGAATAATTTGTTTAGTCAACCACAGAAAAAATTGAACCAATAACCAAGAAAAATAATTATTATTTGCCTTAAAACATTAATCCTAACATGCATGAATAATTTTGATACCCTAAATCTTAGTACATAATAAAGATACAAAGCAAAAGCATCCAAACTTGCACCATAACGTCATAAACATTAACATAATGTCATATGGAGACACGATTATCTCTACTCTCTTGTTAAATGTGGTTGTGAATGAAGGAGGAACGAGATTTACAAAACTAAGGTTGAGACTTGGATGTCATTGTGGCAGTTGGGAGAGTGTTTGAATGGGCTGTTAATAGGTATTGACAAGTCGGTTGGGTCCACTGTTTGGTCCAGTAAACCGCGGTCTAGACTAGACCAGGCCAAGAGATCAACACATATAATATACAGACCATGGACCAGACCAGACCGTACTTAACGGTCTACGGTCCAGACGAAACTGTGCGGTACGGCTTAGACCACGGTTTTTCTAACGGCCTGGTCTATTTTCCCAGCCCTAATTCTATAAAAATGGACTAATCCCGAACTTACACTTATACTGACACAAATCCCTACCCTAGACCTAGACAAACTCGGCAGCCAAGAAACCCTATCCCTACTCGACTACTACATACTAATGACCTAGCTAACCCCAAGCCCATAATACGTAAACAAAACATTAACCAAAATACCCAAGCCCATCCACTACTTCCGTACCTCACTCCCACGGTCTCGTCTCTCCCGCGGTTCCCATCAACTTCATGGTACTCGTGCCCCGGTTCAGAGGATGCGGTGGCGCTCTTCTCGTCGGTTTCCTTGGTGGCGCTGCCTCCCCCTCCACCATCTGTCCCCGGTAGAGTTTCCTTCCTCAACTCCTTCTCCATGAGACGATTCAGCAGCTACCCAATTTGCCTATGCTCGGCTGTAAGGTCCTTAAACTGGGCCACGACCTCCTACAGTGCGCCCTGCAGTGTGACCGTCCGATGAGTCAAGTTCGTCATGATCTAGTTTGTCTGCTCATGTGCGGCCTCCAAGGCCGTGCAACGCTCGCCTGTAGTCGCCACCATAGGTTCTGATACCAAGTTGATGAACCAAAACTCTCAATTCAGGAGTTTGCTTGTCACTCACAAGCGAGAGAACGATGTAAAGTGTCGAAAGACTAGTTTAGGTTTATTATTTGATAAAAATTGGACTATTGCCGAACTTACAGTTATATAGATACAAATCCCTACCCTAGACCTAGCCAAACTCGGCAGCCAAAAAACCCTATCCCTACTAGAATACTACCTAATAATGACCTAGCTAACTCCAAACCCATAATACGTAAACAAAACATTAACCAAAACACCCAAGCCCATCTACTACTCTCGTACCACGCTCATCACTACTTCATGTACCCATCATGGTACCCCATAGGCCTCATCTCTGGCATCCCTTGGACCACCCAATTCGCTCTATTCTCCCAAATGATGATGTAGAACTCATGCTTACGGATCCAATCCTTTGCTTTGAGTGCTTAGGTTGGTGTTCGTTTTTGTTTGCTCTAATCCACCTTGTAAATAAAAGTACACTTATAAGATTCTTTTAACCCATGTAGGCTAAGCATGTAATTTCTTAAACATCTAATCAATTTAGGTAATACAACTAAGCATGAAATAAATCTAATTAAATAAAGCCAAGAATGTAATAAATCTAAATCAAATAAAGCTAAGCATGTAATAAATTTTAGCTTCTAATCAATCTAAGTAAATAAATGTAAATAATTACAAAGTTGACAGTTAAGTAAACTTACTTGACACCATAGGGGGGATTTGTCACAGATCATAGCTCCTCATCTTACGCCCAGAATTCATGCGGGTCTCGAGGTGCAAACATCGAAAGAAGCTCCCATGCCCATAGCTGGAAGATAAACATCAAACCATCAGATTATTTTGCTCCCAGCTTCGAGCAAGTACACAACTCCCTATAAACCCTGCTAACACGACCGACCCCCAATTCTTTTTCCCGATTGTGTTCCAATCATTTAGGAGCAACGACAACCACATGCCATGTATCCACCTGTTTGCTTTGTCGGGGAGCAGAAATCCACTAACCAAGCCAATGAGGTAGACGCGTGCATACCGCTCCACTTGATCTTCTGGGGTCTATGGGTCGAGCTTAACCTCATTTTGGATTCGAGTAACGAGCCACGAGATAGATATTTGCCCGACATTCAGTGGTGGATGCCCACGTCCTTGGACTTCTGTCAGGGTCGGCATGTTGAGTCCCAGACGATCGAGAATCAGTGGCCCCCAATCTTCTTTGGATTTTCCCGAGTATCCGATGATCGCATCTCCAGTTACCAGCAACCAGTTGAGGATGGCAACGTCTATGAGGGTGATCATTATTTCCCCCTCGGGAAAGTGGAAAGTATGTGTTTCAGGGCGCCATCGCTCTGCCATTGTCGTCAACATATTGTTGTCGATCTCAATTCGCATGAAGTGCCTCAGCATATCCAAACCAGTCCTCTCTAGGTACGGCAAGAGTCGAGCATGCCAAGCGGGCAAGCGTGTTGTCCCTCTAGAGTGACGGGAGGAAGTGGTTCCTACAAAAAATGCAAAAAAACCAAGGTTGTTAGTAAAAGGAAACCAAAATTAAAACTTTTAAAATACTAAAATAATTAACAAATTGATACGGAGCGGTGTGTCTACCGGATTTTTATGCCAAATTGCACGGGAGCATGTTGATTGCTCAGATAAATACTTCGCATCCCTTGATCCAAGATCGATATATAATTGAGGATCGTATATCTCGGCATCCATCTATAATTTTTTTTGAATGAAATCAGATTATTTCGATTACAAAAAAAAATCACAAAAGGAAAAACTAGTACGTACCCTAAGAGGCTCTCGTCTATTTATGGAGGAAGCCGGGCAGCGATTCGACGGGTTTTTTATGGGAGGGCTGTAGGAAATAACTCTAGGAATTCTTTTTGATGCGGAAGATCGGGTTTACCCGCAACCACAAAGCATACTTAGAACGAAAGTAGAGAGGATATATGGAGGGATAAAGAAGAATTGTGTGGTGGTGTGATTTGGAATAGGGGAATACAGGATTAGCTTTGTTGGATACTCTTATTCAATATGAATCCATAAGTTTTGATCCTTAGAAGCGGGGGAGCACTCATTTATGGAACTTGCACCCATTTTCTCTCTAAATTAGCGAGTCAACAATTGATCACAATCAAGTGACACCAACATGTAAAAGCATAGGCATGAAACAGGAATGTATGTCAATCAGAATCTGAAACTGTTTTTTCTTAGATGATATATTGTGCTCGCGCGATTAGCTTATTGGTCTCTGATTAGTTTCTTTTCCATCGTTCCCTTTCCACTCATCTAAAAGTCTCATCTCCATAGTAGAATCTAGCTATATATATTCTCTTCGGCTAGAACGGCTGGCCGTTTCTTAGCCTATGAAAAGCTTGACTGCTGAGTAATGGCCACAAAGAAGCTGGCCACACATGTAGCTTTGTGCATGGTGCAGCTCTAGAACGAATGTACAAGGGTTTCTCCAATACTACTGCTGTTGATAATATTTCCTTTAAGCATCATGATATCCCGTCTGACTGGTAGTTTCAACAATTTGTATTTACAGGAATACGAATTCCATTGATGTCTCCCATGTTCGCACCGTTGATTATGATAATGATAGACCGTTAATTACACATGTTTTCACCCCTGTTCTTACACCGTTTGAGATGTGGTTTCTCGTGTTTTAGACCGATTTCACGCTAGGTTGTGCTTGTTTGTGATATTTCAGGTCCTGGCAAGTGAATGAAGGTTTAG